GAACAGGGAGCAAAACAAAGTGCTGCTTTCATGAAGCTTGCAGTCTAGTGTGGAAAATGGACATTGGGGGTGGGGGTGGATTGATAATAAACCGATAAGTAAAACAGTAGGTCAAGTGGTGGTTAGTGTTATGGAGGGATGTAAAAGCAAAGAAGGGGTTTGGATAGTATCAGAGAAGGTGGGGTGGGTATTTTAAATAGAGTAGTCAGGGAAGGTCTTAATAAGAAGGTAGAAATTCCACATTCAGGCAAAGCCGAGAAGGAGGTAAGGAAATAAGCCATGTGAATAGCTGGGAGAAGAGATTTCCAGGCAGAGGAAACTGCAAATGCAAAAGCTCTGAGATTGGAAGACGTTGACCAGTTGCGGGTATTTGGGAGCCTCTAGTCCCGCTCTTAATTACAAATGGAGAAACAGGTTCAACCAGAGAGGGAGGGCTGCTTCCAGCTGTGTGACTTGGCACTCTGTGGCCCAGGCCCTGGACTCCCCAGCGAGTGCTCTGTGTCTGCATTAACCTTCCCTGACTACTCTATTTAAAATACCCACCCCACCTTCTCTGACACTATCTCCTGCAGTGCTGGCTGCAAGGTAGTTGTTCAAGAAAGACCTGTGGATTGAAATACTATGGCAACCCTTAGCATTTTGTGCTGCAAACGTAGCTCAGAAGAATTGCCTTAAAGGGAGAAGACTTGATAGTGCCACTCTGCTCTTGCCGCTCTACTGCACTATTCTCAAAGATCACAGGTGGGATTTTCCACTTGGGAAAATGTTCTCATATTCCATTATTTCTGTCACATTGGACAGTGGACCATTTCCCTTCTCAACCCGTCTCTTCTCTCGTGATGCTGCATCCCTGCTTTCCCCTGTACTTTGGACGTTCCTTGTGCCTCCTCCCTCTTAAATGTATTTGTTTACAGAGGTTCAGTTTTCAGACATCTCCATATTGAATGCTTTGGCACCTTAACTACTTCCATGTGGGACTGACTCCCATACATGTAGTTCACATTTCTGTGAGCAAGAGTAAGGTGTTTTAAGAATTTCAAGACTAAAGTTAGCAATGACTCAAACTATAAAGCTACAGCACTTTGAATAGGCTTCTAAGCAAATGCTCTACCCGATTAGATTGCCCATAGATGTATGTCCAACTGACTTGGGGATCTGTGTTCCCCAGGCCGTCTGATTGATCATTTGGTCTCTTGAATGACTTTCCCTATGGGATGGTTATGCTGATGTCAGGTTCATTTCCCATTGTGAAGGGGAGAAAGTGACATTTGGTTTGTCACTGTCTTGTGAGTTTGGTGTTAGGCAATCTCACAGATTCCTTCCAGTTATTGGGAATGATCACCTGAGTTTCTGAACCAGGAAAGACTGACTGAGGAGGAGGTACCAGACAGATAACCCAGCTGAGGTACCACTTGCTCTGATGGCCAAGGCCTGGAAGCCTTCAGTTTCACACTCCGCTCCATCCAGTCTCACTATGCAGCCTGATGGGGGTGAGTGTCCTACCCCTCAGCTCTGGCATATGGCATGCAGTTAATCTGTTAAATGATAATTCTCTGCAGATGCTTGCAAATTTTCCATCCTGTATTGAGCCGTGTTAGGTGACTGGAGGTGGCATGGGTAACAGGTGTGGGAAGGGTCTTGCTCAAAGGCCCGGGGAGGAGAACAGTCAAACCCCCAGCCCAAGAACATGTAGATTGAGTTTCACAACCATGATAGACGGGGAAGGTAGAGTTCGTTTGTGAGGGCACTTCTACTTCATATTAAATATAGCCACATTTAGCCAATAGAGCTGTGAACACAGGTATGGAGTGTACATCTGTCATGACGTGAACATGGAATAAATATGAAGGGCAATTGACTTTGCTAGTGGAGAGTGTTAATGTGTTCAGTAAGACTCATTGTAACGTTAGTATGTGTTCTTTGTACATCTGGCATCTCAGTTGTAGCACACTGCAGGGGATGATTCCTCTTTAAATTTAAGACAGTGTGTTTAAGACACTTGGCTTTATTCTTATGTTTAAAAATGTTTGCCCATGTCTCTGTATAGGAGAATGGAAGTGTTTTTCAGCTGTGAGGAGAAGGGCTGGTGCTGGCTGTGTGTGTTTGCTCAGGATTGAGGAAGCCCTTTAGTGCTGGTCCCTCTAATGCCTCAGTGTCCTGGTCTGTTAAATGGGGGTAATAAAAGCAGCTACTTTGTAGGGTTTTTGTAAGGATTAGTGAGTTAGTAATTGTGAAGTGCTTTTATCTATTTTTTGTTAATCCTCACACAAGGATATTTTTTCCATTTACTTTTTATTTTTTAAATATATTTTATTGATTTTCTACAGAGAGGAAGGGAGAGAGATAGAGAGTTAGAAACATCGATGAGAGAGAAACATCGATCAGCTGCCTCCTGCACATCTCCCACTGGGGATGTGCCCGAAACCCAGTCACACGCCCCCGACCGGAATCAAACCTGGGACCTTTCAGTCCGCAGGCCGACGCTTTATCCACTGAGCCAAACCGGTTTAGGCTCCATTGACTTTTTAGAGAGTGGAAGGGATGCAGGGAGAGAGATCGATGTGAAAAAGACACATTGATTGATTGCCTCCTGCATGTGCCTGACCAGGGCCAGGGATTGAATCTGCAACCCAGGTAGCTGCCCTTGAGTAGGAATTGAACCTGTGACCTTTCAGTGCACGGGCCAATGTTCTAACCACTTATCCACATGGGCCAGGATGTGAAGTGCTTTTAGATAGATGTATATTCTCATATAACAAAAATTTTAAGGTGTCTCTGTTTCTGCTTTAAACCCTTTCTGGGGAAAAGCTATAAATAAAATCCCCATTTTAAAGATGAAGGAACAGCCTCAGAGAGTTAGATAACTTGTGCAAAGTGGTGTAACTGAAGATAGAAATGGGCTGATGGGGCTGAGAGGACTACACTGCTAATGTGCGCTGGAGTAGAAACAGGAGCGTTTCCAAATTGTCTGCTGACCACAGGGCTGTGGAGTTCAGTTTGAGGATGCCAAAGGGATGAGCAGCCAAGGCAGGGTTGCATATGGGTACCGTTGGGCCCTCCAGCTAGTGAAGCCCTATGTTGGTCCAGTGTTCCCTTCCCACAAGCCTGCCTTCCTTTCTGGGCCTGTGCTGTGACCCTCATATAGCCAAGTGGTTAGAAGCTCAGGCTCCAGTGCAGTGATCTCCAAACCTACATTTGAACATGTATCCCAAGATATGTGTATTTGTAAAGTGTAACAATACCTTCTTGACTACCATACTTTAAAACAGTGACAGAAAGCCGAAACCGGTTTGGCTCAGTGGATAGAGCGTTGGCCTGCGGACTGAAAGGTCCCAGGTTCGATTCCGGTCAAGGGCATGTACCTGGGTTGCGGGCACATCCCCAGTGGGAGATGTGCGGGAGGCGGCTGATCGATGTTTCTCTCTCATCGATGTTTCTAACTCTCTATCTCTCTCCCTTCCTCTCTGTAAAAAATCAATAAAATATATTTAAAAAAAAAACAGTGACAGAAATTTAACTTATGAGATAAAAAAGAAAGTAATTTATTTCAGAAACATTGGGTTACATCTTGCACCCACTTTGCTAGTTTCTGCTTCCAAGGGTCGGTCATGTTCTGGCGGTGTGAAGTTGAGCAAATTCCTTTAACCTCTCCAAGCTTCAGTTTTCTCATCTGTAATATAAGACTAATAAGACTAATAAAACTGAGGATTGTGAGGGTTAAATGAGATAATTCAAGTAAAGCTTTTAATGCCACAAGAAGAAAACTTTCCCCCCAGAACGTGAATATTGGAATTGAGTCTCTCTCACTCCCCCTCTTGCTGTGCGGGGAGTATCCAGGTCCCTTCCATTGGCCAGGTTCTGTATAAGAGACAGCCAGGGGCTATCACTGTCAAACATTGCAAGTTACACAGCTTAGAAGCCTCTACATTCTTCATAGTATTACATTTGGTTTGGAATTCCTGATTTCTTAAAAAAAAATTTAAATTTATTTCAGAGAGGAAGGGCAAGGGCGAGAGAGAAACATCAATAATGAGATCATCTTGGCTGGCCGCAACCCGGGCATGACCTCCTGGTTCCTAGGTGGATGGTCAACCACTGAGCCACGCCGGCCTGTCAGATTTCCTCTGGAATGGTAGTTGGAAGCCTGAGAGCAGATTCCTTCTCCCTAAACACACTTACACTAATAAAACCAACAATACTATGTGCCAGACATTGTTCTAAGCATTTATAGTCCTCAGTTTGTTAAATAACCTGCCCAAGGCCACAGAGCTATTAGTTGGGGAACCCAGGTCAGATACACCAACGCCAGCGCCTGTATGTAACCACTGCATTATGTTCTGAAGGTGCCGGGGCAGGGACCGCGTGGCCACGGCCTCACGGCCACAGAGCGCCCGCTGTGTGGCTGCTGAGCGGGCAGACGGCGAGCCCACACCATCCCTGGAAGCTCGCGAGAGCTCGTCCCGGAGTCTCCCGCAGTCCCCGGCGGTCCCGCCTCTGAGGCCAAGTACCTGAAGCGCTACTTGTCCGGGTCCCATGCCGGCGGCCCAGCGGGTTCCGAGTCCAATCTCCAAGGCCGAGTACCTGAAGCGCTACTTGTCCCGGGCCGATGCCGGCGGCCACGCGGGTTCCGAGTCCATTCTCAAGCGTCGCAAAAAGCGCCCCAAGCCTGGCGGTGCCGGCGGCAAGGGGTGAGTGGGTCTAGGCGGGGCCGCCGCCCCCATTCCTCCCGTCTCCGCGGCCCGCCCTTCCTGGATCCCCGCCGGGCTGAGGGACCCCTCGGGCTGAGGGCCCCGTGAGAGAGAATCACTGATCGCGCCCCGGGCCCTGTGTTCTAGCCAGACTGTGGCCTGCATCCCTTTGCCCGCCTCTGCAGCCTCCGGTAGAGAATGCGCCCTGTGCCCCGAGAGACGGGTGAGCTGGGCCAGAGCCTGTGCTTGGTGCTC